TTTTCTACTATAATTTGCATTATCAAATTATCTTTTTATGTCTCTCAACCTTATATACTATACATTTCTTGAATTTCTTTTCTGAATCTGATAAACAAGGAAAGCTATAACTATAGCTATCTAATCTTCAACTCCCTCAGAGACCCAAGATGGCAATGATATTAACTAAGCAAGCAGGAAGTGCAAGCAAGCAACTTCCAAAAACTGTGAGAAATGACAAAAACAGCTGGCTGCCTGGACAGCCACCCAAGGTTCCTCTGCAATGATGAGGCATCTATATTCAGCCTATAGGCCTAGAATCTCTGACAGACTTTTCTATGAAGCAGGATTATTGAATGTCTGTCCCACCTTATCCTGGCAAGGTTTTATAGTCACTGTCTTTTGTGTCCTCCTAGTCTAATTTGGACAGCATACTGTCAGCAGTCAAGAAAAGGGCACTTTCTTGCCCAGTGATTACTTTTGCCATGAAGAATGTAAACTCCGGGTGGAGTTTCTTCAATGCCCGTCATCTTCTCTGTAGTAGATTGGTGTCTCATTGTCAAAAAGAAAAATACCTATGTTATTAAAACATTTCAAATGCAGCATTTTGTAGATCTCTGAAGTGTTTGAAGACAACCTGTCTTTCTAAAATATACTTCTGTTTGACCTTGAAAAATACCTAATGTGACTACAAGTTCGACAGTAATAGTTGACTAATTACTAACCTACATTTCCTTATTATTCTATAGAGCTGGTAAAAATAATTTTCAAGGGCTAGAAATTTGCATTACATTGTTAAATGAGCTGTATAAATATAATACCTTAGACAATACTAGAAATATATGTGCAGTATGTTTTAATCAATTAATTTCAAATTTGTATCAATATATAGTATTTGTATACAATATACAAAATTCCTATCCAATGCAAAATATTTAAAACTAGCAGTTTCTTTTTACAAGTAGATTCAATAATCTACCTTTTTATCTCATCATAGCTATATCCTCCCTTTTTTTCTTTTCAGAGTAGATTCATTAATCTACCACAGGATAAAGTATTCCTTTTTTTTTTCTTTTTTTTCAAAACAAGAACCTTGTATCTAATGCCCTTCATTCAATTTTCTTCCTGGCCATACCAACAACATTTTGTAACCAATCACCCTAAACAATGACAAATATCCATAACCCAATAAGTTTTCAAAAGCTACCACCCCACCTCTTGGGAATGAGGACATAGTGTTCTTAAAGTTACTTCCTGCTGTCTGGGATCCTGAAAAGAAAAATTTGGGTTAATTGTCAAGTCCTGGGAGAGGTAGCTGTATCATTTATTGTCCAGTCTCTGCATAATGGGAATGTGCTGAGCTTGTCTCAGGTCCTGGCTAGAGTAGTGTATGAGGCTGAATCATCTCAGCTGGCCTCCTAAAAATTGTTCTGAGCAGTTTGTAATCCAAAGCTGATCTTTAGTTGGTGTTATTCAGCTTAATGGTATTATCATAGTCCTGGTGAAATTGTTATTGCAGTGTTTCTTCTTCTTCTTCTTCTTCTTCTTCTTCTTCTTCTTCTTCTCCTCCTCCTCCTCCTCCTCCGCCTCCGCCTCCTCCTCCTCCTCCTTCTTTTTCTTTGTTTTCTTCTTTGTTTGGTTGGTTGGTTTGGTTTGGTTTTTTTGAGACAGGGTTTCTCTGTGTTAACAGTTCTGGCTGTCCTGAAACACAATTTGTAGATCAGGTTGTCCTCAAATTCACTGAGATCTACATTCTTCTGCCTCCCAAGTGATAGGATTAAAGGTATGTATGACCTCCACTTTGGCTTAGATTCAATCTTCTTTTAGAGACTTCACAGATTGCATTAGGTCAGATTATTTCTTTTCTTGGTAATTTTTTCCAGGTAGTTTCCCCTTCTTCTTTGGATGTTTATGTCCAAAAGTCTTAAGTTCCTCAAGATGTTTGTTTTTATTTTCCTGAAAATTAAGAAATTTAACCCTTGCCTAACCCTAACTTTGAGGAGGTTCCTAATGTAATCTTTATCAATGTTGATTTATGGTTTCTCCTGAATTTTTTGTTTTAATCTTCTAAAGCTCTTCTTCCAGAACCTTATGGCTTCTTACTATAGGTATTAGGTTCTTTAATTGCTCTGGGAAGAAATTTCCTCCAAGGTTACAGGAAACGACTGAACAGAATTTGGGACAGGAATCTTCAAGAGGCCCCTCAAGGCATTTCTCAAAGGCAAAGTATTGCCTTGATAATTTCTTGTTGATCTACATTCCATAGTCAGTGCTTGCCTTTGCCACACATTCTGCATAATCCAAAAGGGAGGAACATTCTATTTAGATTATATTTATAAAAAAGAATTGTTTCTAGAAACACGCTGTTTATTATCCCTTTTCAGGTGACCTTTTCTGGCACAATGAAAACATTTGACATTTCAATTTTTCTTTAAACCTCTTAAAATCACCTCTCTTATCCACGTATCATCATCATGGTCATGACCTTCAATATTGATTTTATCTTGGATCCAATCTTCCAAAGGTGTTGACTTTGCTTTTAAAGGCCTAATTATCCTTTTGCATTGGGCATTAGCATTTTCAAAAGCCATAGTTTCAATTATTATTTTTCTAGTTTCTGAATCTGATGTCATTCTATTTACTGCTGATGATAGGGTACTGTGAATTTTCTGGCCTGGCAGGTTCCCTGGCCCTTGAGCTCCGACTTAATTATTAACCCATACCTACTAATCCATGTATTTCCATGTGGTCTTCAAGAGAAAGGTCCGGGTCTCTTACTCCATTAGGGTCAGAACTAGCCTATAAGAAACCATAGCCAAAGACCAATAGTTTCATAACTAATATAGCATCCGTGTGTTTCATTGGGGCAGAGAAGGGCGGCAGGACCTACAGACCAGAAAGCTCACATAACATGATAGTCTTTGTAAGAAATCTGTGTGTGCTTCTTTTGGGCCCTGCATGACTTTTGTAAATGATTCAATTGTCTTTCCTGCTTCTCCAATTCTGTCCCAAGCATTCAAAGCTGCTGTAAAGCATAAACTGAAGAGATGATCATCATAGAGACATTGCTTTTCTAAAGTAGCATAATCTCCTCCAAGAATTTGATCTTGGGGAATACCGCTTGCTTTTAGCCTTTTGATCAATATCCATAGCCTCTTTTCTGAACCAGGAAACCCACTGTAATTGGGTTCCAGACTATCAGACAGCTTTAATCAAATCTATGCAACCTATAGGGATAACCCTATTACAAATGGCCACATGCTTATTGTCCACTTCATAAATGGTGAATAGATGACATATAAGACTACTGCTTCTGAGAAGGATGAGTGATGAGCAAAGGGGTCCAGACCAGGCTGGTGAAACCCACAGAAACAACTGACCTGAACAACGGGGCGCTCTTGGTCCCCAGACTGACATCTGGGATACCAGCATGGGACTGATCCAGACCCCAGGAACATGGGTTTCAGTGAGGAAACCTTGGAAATCTATGGGACCTCCTGTAGAAGTTCAGTCCTTAACCCTAGCATAGGTGTGGACTTTGAGAGACCATTCCACATAAAGGGATACTCCCTGAGCCAAGACACACGGGGGTGGGCCTAGGCCCTATTCCAAAGGATCTGATAAACTATGATGACACCCTATGGAAGGCCTCACCTCCAGGGGAAGCAGAAAGGACATATGATAGGTAGTGCTTTAGTTGGGGGGGGGGGGGGGGGGGGGGGGGGGGGGGGGAACAAGACTACTGCTTCCTTGAACTTTCCTAAATCTAACATTGTCACAGGCTTCCAAGTAGCTCTTATAGAACCTCTTTCACTTGGCACTTCCTGTAACGTTACTGGATATATTAAAGTTGTTTCTCTTAAGACCTTAGAGTGTTCCTTTTTAACCTGAAAATGCAATGCTGAACTTGTTTTTCCATGTAATTCCTCAGTCTGGGTTTGAATAGCTCTATAATCTGCTTTAGTAAGGTTTTCTAAGGCCTGCATCTTAACTCTCATATCAACCAACTTTTTTCGAGATAAACCAAAAATTATCAAACTGACAACAAGGATTATCAAAATGACAATTAACAGTGTGTCAATCCCAGTTAAGTTGATTACCCCTTCATTTAATTGTCCCATTTTAAAATCACCCATTATGTAATCATACGGAGACCTAATTCTCTGCATTTTAATAGTGTTTTCCATTTTTTAGTATGGGGAAAAAACCTCTCTTTTTTTTAACTAATCCCTTCCTTTAAGAATTCCCAAATCTGTGGACAATGTCAGTGGACTATGAGGCATAGCATGTCTGAATCAGAGAACTAGCTTGTGGCCATGAACTGAGAGTTTCAGCCCAAGGAAGGGGGCTCTGAGAAAAGCCTGAAAGCCTCCTAAGTTTTGTTGGCAGCTAAAGACTGTTTAGAAAAGTGCAACCAAAAAATCCCATGCTTGCTCAAAGATTTCAGAAGAAAACCTAGCTGGTCAGGCAAGGGACTCAGGCAGGAGGGACTCAGGTCAAAGACCAGCCTACAGCTCAGGCTTGGGCCTGGGCTAGTGGCTGGTGGCCTCTTTTCTGTGAATTCGTACTTTAACATTGGGCACCAATTATAGCATAAAAAATAAAAGACCCAGAGAAAGATATTGAAGTTCAAGCTTCGAGCTGAAGATCAGAGAAGCAAAACAGCCAAGTCAGTAACTTTGAGAATTATCGAGGGAAGAAACTTAAAACCTTATAGGCTTTTCTCTATCACCTAGCTTATTGCTTGCTTTCCTCATAGCAGCTGCCAATCTTTAAAGATCACCTCTAGTTTTTATATGCATATACACAGTATATTTATTATTAAGTCAACTCTGCTTAAAAGAATGCAAATCCAGTGGCATATACCAATTCTTCATTACACTGCATCCTGTTACTCATATAGGTGGTGAGAGGGTGTTTCAAATTGCTTGTGCAGATCTGTTGTGTTGAGTAAATCTCAAGGTTGAAGGGTTTCTGTTTCCAGATAACAGAATACATAATTTTATTTTTATGGATTACAGGTGGTTTTTATGAGCCTATGCAAAAGCTTTTGGGATTGTGGACTTGTAGCCTTGGATGACATTACCATACAACTGGGAAACTGCCGGTCTCCAGGTAAGAGGACTATTAGTCATTCTAGCTGTTTGTCTCTCCACCCTATGACGGACATTTCCAGTTCCTCTAAGAACCTCATACATTTAATCCATGCTATTCTGTCCCTTGTTTTCCTTAATGCACACATTCTCACAGAACTTTGTAGTAGATTCTACAAGTTGGAAAGGAAGACTCTGGTGTTCTGTGTGGCTTTTTATGTATGGCTTGGTTTCCTTTCTTCATTGTAAGGAAAGTTAGCAATGCCTCCCTGAATGTTGGGGACAATGTACATACATTCCCCAGCTTATGAACTGCTTCCAAGTAATGCTTAAAAACAAGTGCCCTCTATCTTAACTAGTATTATAATTATCATTGTACTTTTTAGAGAAGGCACATTTTCAAGTAATATTGATGGCATTGCTATTTCAAAATACTTGTGAGACCATTAAATTTTTAATAAAGCTGATACGTTCTAAGTCTAAGTGGCAGTAATAGACCCTACAGCAGCAACAGGGGACATAGGTTTTTGCTGCTGCTTATAACATCCTAATGGTTATTTGTTGTTTTATTTTTCAGTTCCTTTAAAGTTTTGTGCAATATTGTTTTGATCATATTTATCTCTCCAACTCTTCCCAGAATGAATCTCTTTCCCCTATCACCTAACTTTGTGTTTTCAAACCCTTCAAGACCAATTTGTGCTGCCTAAAATATTCTTAGATGTATGTTCTTCCACTGAAACATGGTCAACTTGTGAAGGGCTACATTCTTAGATAAATCTGATCCTTCCTTTTCCAGCAGCTATCAATTGTGAGGGGGTAGGACTGTGTACCTACCACCCCTCTGCATGCTGGGATTTTGTCTTGCTTGAACTTGCACAAGTTTTTTGCATGCTGTCATAATTGTTGTGAGTTCATTTGTGCAGCTGTCCTGCTGTGTCCAGAATACATTTTGTTGCAGTCATCTACAGACACTGGCTCTTTGCACCCATACTTCCATAATGATCCCTGGGCCTTGGGATGAGGGTGCAGTGGTTCTTTCAAAGACCTCAGCTCAGGCTTCTATACCTCAGGAAAGAATTTCTAAATGAATGAGAATCGAAGTTGGAACTTATTAAGAAAAGATTTTAACACAGATTTATGTTCTAGTGTCAACACAAGATGCTTAGGAAAAGGACAGTAAACACCCAAGATATGACTGTAGAGCTTCCCAAGAGAGAGTTTTCATAGTCATATATATAATTTTGGTGGCTTCTTGAGTTACATTGGTCAAAGTGTTTCTAAGGACTTTTCCTTTTTATGGTGAAAGAGATAATAAGGTGGCTTCTGCTGTATCCTGATAAACGTAAGGGCTATAAAGAAGACAAAACTATAGGCCACACGTTGATGGATTCCTTACTATATTACTTGCAAGGGGGTTGAGACATATTTTGTCTGCAAACCAAGTTCATAATCTTGTTTGTGAGATTCTCAGAACATAGCATATTTGCATCTAAACATGGAGTAAGGTTAAATTTAAGTTACATACAAGGCTCACTGCTATTTTCACAGTATTATTCAAAATGGTTCTAGACTTGTGTCAAATCCTCTACTCTTGGCTGGCTTGAGACCAGCCAGACTCCAAAATGAGCTTCCCCATCCATTTCTTCATAATTTCCCCTTTATTTCTATCTTACTTCAGACTAAGCATTGATGATAATGAGAAACTAAAGTCATGGTATCTAGTAGCATACTAGACATGGTGGGCAATGAGTAAATAGTGCATACCTCAATAATTCTCAGTATTCATCTGTTTAACAAATAGCCAAAGTATAGTAACAGTCTATTTGTGGAGACTAGTTGAAAACTGAATTAGGGCTGGTGGCCTAGCTCAGCAGCAGACACTTACACAGCTTACACAGGTTCTGTGTTTACTCCTCCTGATATAAAATCAATTTAAAGGAAAACACCTTGCTTTCAGGCCCTTGGATTCTGAGTCCTTGGAAGGACAATACCAATAAGAGTATCTACACTCAAGCCAAAGAACCGGGAATGGGGCCTCATTAATTAGCACTGTATATAAAACAAAACACACACAAAAAAAACCAGAATATCATTGAAATTTTTACTAAAAACTATGGATGTGGGGAGGTGTTAGAAGCAATGCATCTCCAGTTTTCAGAGCTTTGTAATTCCACTCACACAAATTCCCAAGTTGGGGAGGGGGTGTCTTGTTCAAAGCAACCCAATATTTCAGATCTAGATTTCTGATTCTGTGTCATGATAGGACCCACAATGGAGCACAGATTAGCTGGAGGTAAGGCTTGGTAGGCCACCTGTGAGGGTCTGCCTCTCCATAGGCTTGACATATGGCCAGACACCTCTCAGACATGCAAAGTGGGCTTGCTAGGAGCCATGAGAATATACATATTCATTAACTGTCTCACCAATTACAACACCTGCTGTTTCCTTGCAGAGAGACTTCCACCTCCACCTGGAGAGTGCACTTTCGATCAAGATGAATGTGCCTTTACACAGGAGAAAAGAAACCGGAGCAGCTGGCACAGGGGGAGAGGAGAAACACCCACCTCTTACACAGGACCCAAGGGAGATCACACTACTGGGGTAGGTGAGTTACGCCACATGGTGCTGTTTCCTAAGAATCTACCTTAGCATACTAGAGGTCATTTACCACATTTTATGTGTGCAGCTTCATGTCTTGTGACTAGAATGAGCTACACATGAGATTTTTAATAGGTTTATTGGAAAATCATATTTTATGTTTATAATACTGATTAATGTATATTGTTGCAAAGATAATTTAGAACTGGGTTTAAAAAACTAAAGGGAACAAAAGTTGGGGGAAAGAAATTAATCAAAATTGGAGCTGAGGTTTAGTATATAAATGTACGAGCAGATTGGGAGCAGGCAGATAAGGTCAACTCTGTGCTTTCTATAGCTGAAACAAGGACAGAAAATTCTTCTGTGAATTGTGATTCACTGTGTTGTTGTGATAACACATCAGGAGCTGATAGGTGGAGGTATAGATAATCAGGTGACACATTATCTATCCACTCCACCAGACAAGGTCTTGTTCAGGATGGCCTAGAACTCAGGATCTTCCTGCCTCAGCCTCCTGTGAGCTCAGGGATGCAGACAGATATATGTCACTATGCCTGGCTAAGGAGTATGTTTTCAACACAGAATGTGTAAACTATAATAGGACAAACTCAAGGTTGCTCATCCTGTTACTACTGTATATCAGCAAGTGAAAACAGTCAGTGGTAAAATATGCTCTCGTTATCAGTTAAGGCACAACCTTAAATTCAAAGAAGGAAAATGTCCCTGAACTAAATTCTCAGAGATCCTTGACACTAAGCTTCAGTGTCCATAAAGAAAAGTCAGGAGGATGTGGTGGGTTATAATGTGCTTACCTTATGACCAACCTCAAGATAAATCTATGAGCCAGTACCATGGATCAATATACGATGTATGTAACCTTTCTACTGAATTAGACAAACTCAGTAGAATTCAACCACGAATAGCTTTATTTTTCTTTCCATCATTCACTTCAGTTATATCCTAAAGACTTCTCTCCCCATTCCTTGGCAAATCCCTTAACTCCCAGTTCTGCTGAGGTATTAGAACAGTCATAATTCAGGCATTTTAAAAAGTATAGTCCTAATTAAAAAAAACCACTTCCATTTCTCATTCAATCAAAATGCTTCTGATCTCTTTAGCTTGGCCTTGACTCCTTGTCTCAGGAGGATAAAGGAGACAACTGTATAGTCTTTAGTCTTTATCTTATACCCTTTCCTGCCTTCCCTGTTTGTCAGGGAAGGTAGAGGAAGAATTAAAAGCCAATAACTTTAAAATAGTTAGTGCTCTTTTAAATTCTCTCTTGGCTATTGACTGTTCCCTCGTTGTGACAGATGTCAATAATGGCCAACTGGAACTTCTGCAGCACACCATGCCTGGCAGTGTCCACTCTGCCTAACCCTCTGTAATCAGCCATTTGCACTTGTTGCCTCCACATTAAGGTACACACCTCTATACTGCCACCCAAGTTTTTCTGAAAGTTTCTGCTTTGTTTGAAGAGCAATATTTCATCCACCTTCCCAGAGTGTCCACTGGCCTCAGAAACTAATGCACTCTCACCTAAAATGTGTCACCCAGTGCTACTGCTGCCCTTTTTCTATGGTGCTTTGGTAGACTCAGGAAGATTATTTCCTCAGAGAAGAATATTGCTAAAGAGATTCAGCACTGGCCAAAGGTAGACCAGATATCCACTTTTGGTATTGAATAGTGATTCTAGAGAATTATGAGACCCTTTAGGCTTCATCTGGAAATGCATCAGAAAGTCACAATAACTAGAAACCATATATATGATGACACTCTGGCAACATAAAACAGAAACAGAATCGAAATTGATGTTAAATGGACAGGGAATCCTTTGCTGAACTTTGAAACAGGAAATGATCAGTTCAGGTGCATTCTGATGCAAGGGATAAACTATATAATCAGGGGTCTCTTTTCTCCTTCCACTTCTCTGTGCTGAGTTTTCTGGATTGGTTCCAGTATCATCCAGAATATCCTATCATGGTAAAAAATTGGCTAAGCAAAGACAGAACACTGAATTTTGCAGAAAGGGATAACACTGATGAAAATCTCCAAACTGAGCCCCCCCTTTTTTTTGAAAAATATGTATTACTATAGAGCCCTGCTTGGCCTGACACTTGCTATTAGACAAGGCTGGCCTTAAATTTACAGAGATCTACCTTCCTCTGTCTGCCTCATAAGTGCTAGAATTAAAGGCCTGTGACACTATGCCCAGCCAAACTAAGCTTTATTGGCTCTGAATAGCAATGTCATAAGGGCTATTATAAGTACTATATAACCATTGAATTCCCACAGTACTTAGTATTATGACTTATTCAAGATAGATATGCAAAAATCTTTATGGTTTGAGTGAACAAATGCATAAATGAGTGAATGAATGAATAAATGAAATCCTTTACTGAAACATATAAGAATGCTCATTATTTAGCAATACCCATCACAGTAATATACACCTATAATCCCAGCACTCAGGAAGCTGAGGCAGGAGTATTACAAATTTAAGGCCAGCCTGGGTCACATAATGAGATCCAGGCCACAATGGGCTATATTCCAAGTCCTGTCTCAAAACAAAAACAAAAACAGCAAAACCCTCTTTAGAAAAAATAAGATTGTGGGAAGATACTATTTTTAATATTCACTGCAGTATAGAGGAGCCTTTGAAGTTAGCTCATCTGTTATGAGATTCCCCCCCCACCCCGCAAAAGGTTTAGAGTTTTTATTCCTTTTATGCAGGCATAAAGAAGGCTTTAGTTAGAGGAATGAAAAGACACTATGGAAAATAAGCATAAGATGACTTTACAGGGAGGTATTCTGGATAATAAAGATCATGGAATGAAGACAGGACAGGATCAAAGTACTAAATAGTGAAGGAGCCATTCCTGAAGAGAGCAAAGGGAAGCATCCAGGCCAGGGGTAGAAGAGACCCATAGGCTTTGGAGTTGGGAAAACCCAACATATTTCATTCATTGGGTATGGCCTTAAGAAAGCTACTTAGTTCCCAGTTTCAGCTTTGACATCTAGAAAACAAGAATACCTACAACTACCTACTCATTTACATAATTTCAAGAAGTGGTCCAAGATCAAGATGTCCTCATGGTTGCTTTCCTCTGGCCTCTCTGGCTTGCAATTGGCCATCTTCTTGCTATGTCTACATATGGTCTTCTCTCTGTGCCAAAGAGACACACATCCCTGGTGTCTCTTTGGTTATGACACTTGTATTGAATCAGGATCCACCCAAGCAATCCTCTTTAAATTCAATTACATTTTTAAAGGCTCAGTCTCTAAATGTAACCACACTCTGATATACTGAGGTTAGGTCCTCATTGTGTGTGTTTTGGAGAGATGCAACTTAACCCATAGCAGACTTTTTTCCAGGAATCAGTGTCATGGGCTGAATATCAAAGGAGAAGGAAAATTCTTTCAAGTTAAATGAGTGGCAATCCAGGCCTGCTCCTGCTCCTCGTGGCTTTATGCTACAGTCTGGGTTTGTCTGACTCATAGAACATGTTCTACCTCCTCCTCACACATTCAAAACTATGAAAATCTATTAAAAACATGTGCAATATACATTAAATAATATATTCCAGTCCTTTACTGGCCATCATTACCGAGCTATGGGGACATATGTTAATTAACTTGGGATGGCTTTGTTTGAAGATGGTGTGGTTGTATTTTCTTTGTCTCTTTGAAAACTTTAAAAAAAATGTTTCAACTGGCTAGGGTGAAATTTCACAGCAAAAGAATGAATGCAAATGTTTCTTAGTGAATTCCATATTTATTCTGAATGAATACTAGATATATTAAATGAAAGTCTCTGGTGCACAGTGTAGCGAATGCTGATTTTAAAAAACAAATTTTTGTTTTGTTTTGTTTTGAGACAGGGTTTCTCTGTGGCTTTGGAAGCTGCCCTGGAACTAGCTCTTGTAGACCAGGCTGGTCTCAAACTCACAGAGATCCACCTGCCTCTGCCTCCCAAGTGCTGGGATTAAAGGTGTGAGCCACCAATGCCCGGCTTAGGAACTTTAAGTTACAATACTGGCCATAGGATACTGTCAACCAGGAGTCCCATGAAAATGGAGCCTCAGATGTGACCTGATATGGAGGTAGTACACTTAAGGCCATGAGTCCCCATACCAAGAATGGGAACAGGCCATATAACAAGGAAATTATCCATCCATACAACGATACATCCTTGGCTTGGCCACTGCTATGTCCAATTGATTGCTTGAGATAGTGGGGACATCTAATAAACCATGTTGAATTATGTGTCATGGCCATCAACTAGAGAGCAAAAGAGAAAAGTATGTTTTCATACACTCCCACCCTCACTGGCCTAGACAACTGACTCCCCACTTCTACCTCATTCACATGCATGCAGAGAAATTCTGCAAAGGCTTAAGCTAAGAGTGACTGATGACATCTCTACATTGAAGACCAAAAGCCATTGGTATCTGCCTTGGGCCCAAGATAAGGTGTCACCAAAGTGCTTTTGAATCAGTCCTATCTCTTCACTTTCCCTGCTTAAAGCCTACCAGTTTACAGTTGACAGAACTCAAACAAAGGAGGAAAAAAGAAAGATGGGTGGGGAAGGGGGGATGCAAACCTGTTTTATAGACAGCTGCATGATAAACAGTCAATACATGTCCACTAAATGAAAAGAAAAGCTCAGCAAAGTCACACTATTATTATGTCAAGCTGCTGTGTGTGTGTGTGTCAGAATCAATATATCATCTCAGGTTAAATAAAGACAAGCCCTGTGAATGATCTTCAATTTAGCTGCCAAATGGGTCAAATAATGTTGATTTCCCAGGAATGGAGTGTTTGAGAAGTAGACCACCTGTTCTGACTCAGTCTCTATCCATCCTGTCCTTGCACGTGCCTTAGTCATAAAGCTCTTAGTTTATAGTTCTGTCACAGGAGAGGTGCAGATGGGATGAGGCTGAGTAAAAAAAAGTTACTGTTCTTAGAAAGAATCAAGCATTTCTCTTGAGCAAGTATTCTTGAACTGTT